TATTAAAAGAATTTGCAGTGGCCAAAGCCCACTATAAATCATGCCAAAGAGAGTTTACATTTCAGCAGTCAGCAGGGAACATTCCCACAAACTGCTCTTCTACACCCTTCTACAGATTCCAGGCTGTCAACATAATTAAAGACTTGAAAGGAAGGGGACTTGAAATCAGAATAATACTGCTTTCTTTTCCTAGAAGGATCATAGGATATCAGTTTCTTAGAACCTTCATCTTCATATCTGAAGAGAAGTTCCCCATCTTTCCAAGATCGCAGAGGCCACAGAACCACTTCTAAGTGTTCAAGGGTAAACTGCTTGGACAAAGACCCTTCAACTCCATATTCAGCCATTACCTGTATCTCAATACCCCCACTCATCACATTAGACTCAATGCATGAAATTCAGAACCATATGTTCTTAGTTCTACTATTATCAAGAACTAGATAAACTGTCAAAGTCAAATGCTACATATCAGGACAAAAAACAAACAGATTTGCATTTCAAGAGACTGAACAAGATGAATAGAATTAGTACAAGTTATTTCAAGAACAAAAATCAGTGCATGAAATTCAGAACCATATGTTCATAGTTCTACAATTATCAAGAACCAGATAAACTGTCAAAATCATATGCTACATATCAGGACACTAAACAAACAGATTTGCATTTCAAGAGACTAAACAAGATGAATAGAATTAGTACAAGTTATTACAAGAACAAAAATCAGTGCATGAAACACCACCATCTATCTGCTCATACATTTTATTTTTTCCCCTTTTTCCCTACTGGTCCACTGTTCGGTCTCGAAGGTCTTCGTTTCCGTGTAACAGCAAACTCTCCAAATTTATGACCAACCTTTGCCTCAGTAATTTTACAACGGACAAAAGTTTTTCCATTGTAAATTCGCACAGTGGAATCAACAAGTTCTGGCCAAATAGTAGATCTCCTTGACCAAATTTTCATGTTAGAAACGTTCTTTCTCATCTTCTTTTTCATCAGGAAGGCATCAACAAAGCTGCCCTTCCATATAGATCGTCCTGAAGAGAAGCTAGCAACTTGAAATAATCCACCAAACTGCAATAGTCATTACCAAAACGAGAAACAGAAGTTCAGCATTTAGTCCAGTTGTTTAATAACAGAATTTAAAATAGAGCTGCTCTGAAAATATGACCACAAAGCAAACATATTTTCCTAGTGTTTGCATTCTAAACACAGCTAAATGATCACCCTCGAACAAGAAGCAAATTCGCAGGTCACAAAAGAAGCATATTTGCAGATTCTGGAGCTAGTAAGAGTTCTACAGCAGTGTCAGAAAATGGCCAGAGTAGACAAGACATAAGAAGATCAAATGAGTTACAAGCAATTCCATTGAAAGAGAAACCAGAAACTGTTAATGAACAACACAGTCACTCTCAAATTCTAACCCAAACAGGCCAGCAAGCAAGCTATCTCAATCATCCACACGATTGTCCAATTGATAAAATCCCATCAAAAGTCAAGCATCTGTAGGGCTTCACTGGAAATAGAGTCAGAAGCGGAAGCTTTTTACAAATTCTTAAGCATCATCCTTGTTTACTAACGTAAACCAGAACAAACCTGGAACTTTGAAGCATTACAGCAGAGTACAGTTTTACACATAAAACATATACCTAGAAATCAAATTCTGTGTAGCACGAATAAAAATAACGAAGAGGATAGCTGGAACACATTAGTACCAGCAAAGTGAACCAAATAGCCCATAGCAGAGCAATTTAGGCTCCCCATGTTGTACGGAAAATTCAGCATTTAGTCCAATCATTAAACAACACAATTTAGACTAGAGCCACTCAGAAACTATGAACACATATAAGCATATTCTCTGCATACTTGAAGACGACTAACTGCTCACGGTCAAACAAGAAGCAACTCTGCAAATCACAAAACACACATATTTGCATATTTTGGGGCTAATACCAGCTATCCTATAATGATATCAACAAATGCCCACAGTCCATAAGAAGAAAAAATGAATTAAAAGCATCTCCATGAACAGAGAAACCAATGCAAGAAAACTGTTAAAATACAACAAAATCACTGAAGCAAGCAATCTGAAAGTCCATCTGATGCAATCCCACATAAGTAAACCCCATAGCAAAAATCCAACGCCTTCAAGGCTTTACTCAGAAAGAGAGTCCAAACCGCATCTTCTAACAGATTCTCGATTATTTATAACGTAAACTAAAACAAACAGTACACGAATCGATGCATTATATCCGAGTACAAATTCTCACATAGAACAGAAACCCATTTCAGAAATGAAATTCTATAGCAGGACGAAACAAACATTACAAAAAAAAAAAGGAAGAGGACAACCGGACCTTGGTAGTGCCGCTAAAGGGAACCAGAGGACCCCTAGCAGAGGAATGTGGCTGGCCAATATTGTAGGGCAACTGTCTAAGACCTCTACCAGATCCGACTACCACTTCTTTCAACAATCTCAGCATCTTTGAGGTTTCTCGTTCTCAATTTTCTGCAATCTACCGATCTATCTATGCTTCCCCCAAGAAGCTGCAAAAAATGGGGTGCGAGAGATGGAGACAGAGTAAAGAACAAACCAGGGGGAATAGTGCGATTACAGTAGGGTTTAGTTCAGTGGGAAGTGGAAAATGAAATTAAGGCTTTTTTTTTTTTGCAAAAATAATCACCAAAAGCATTTAATTTATCTGGTTTTTTTTTAATGACGTCCAATTAGTATAAAATAATAATTTCATTTATTAATTTGTTTTATGAGAAGTTAGAAATCAAAAAATTGGGGCAAAATACACTTTATCCCCCTATGATTTAGTACTTTTACACATAACTTCCTACAGTTTCAAAAACTATACATAACCCCCTCATAGTTTGGATTAAAGTGCCAAAATGACAGAATTTGCATTCCATGACGGAGTCAGCTTAAATGTCAAAAGTACCTCTATGTAAAGTTGAAAATTATTTATTAATCACGGAAATTATATATATATTTTGAAAATCATAAGGGGGCTATATAGTAAAATACTAAACTATAAGAGAGTTTTATGATAAAACATAAAACCATACAAATTAAAGTATTATACTACATATTATGTTCATATATTTTGATTAATTCAGTCATTTTAGTTTTTAAACAAGGGTAATTTAGATCTTTTCATGGGTTCCATTACAAATGAACATTTCTGTCATTTTCACACTTTAATTCAAATTATGAAGGGATTACATATAACTTTTGAAACTATAGGAGGATTATATAAAAAAAATTACTAAACTATAGGGGAATAAAGTGTATTTTGCCCAAATAATTGAGGTAGTAATACTCTTGATTATGAAGTTATATTTAAAAAAAAAAAAAAAAAGTGTGCACAGACTTTGTGGAATTTGAATGGAATCTTTGGCAGAGTTTAAAATCTCTTGTTGGCCAGTTTAGGAAGCTCTCTTACTATCCCCAAAAAAAAAAAATTTCGATTATTAAGTATATTGTTCTTGCAATTATTGTGTCTTTAGTGTCTTAAATTTTAGTATTCATATAAAATCGTTCCATCTATGAGCCTTCTTTTCCTACAATATCTAATTATTGAAAAACAAATTAAAAAAGGAAAGGAAAAAACCAATATAAAATGTGATTTAGCCAGAATCGTGCAATAGATGATTCATACATGATTTTCACCATACAAACCGAAAAATGGTCAACCTCCTAATAATTTAAGTATTTTCACATTTGTATGTATCGGTTTACCCACCTCCCAATTTATATTTATTGCTTACGCATATGATATTTTTATAGTTTCTTTTGTAGGTGGACAAATTAGTTAAATGACTTGAAAATTTTCTTAGCCAAACGCGTTTTATTTCTGGAAAAGGTGTGATCTAAATTCAGAAGAATTGATGATGCCAAATATCCTCTTTAGAAAGGTTGAACAGAGTGTTGCTTCTTTGTTGACGTTGGATCTTCACAAGCAAATTCCATCTCTTCAACAAAATTGCTTTCAAAGAAATGTTCTGTCCCTTAAAAACATCTCTTCTGGCACGATTGAGAGCAGAAGCTTTAGAGGGAGTTATTTTTGCATTGATACAGCTGGTTCAGGGGCGGATTTAAGGTGGGGGCACGCCCCAATGCCCCTTTAAATTCCTATAATACTTGTACAATTTTAATATAATTTTAAATGTGACTTCGGAGTTTTTTTTTAGAAAGAATATGAAAGAATTACGTGATTTTTTAAATTAGTTCATAAGCTAAAATTCTAAAAAGATACGCGGGCACAAATTCCATTTGAAATAAGTTAAAAAACGCCTTTTCATTTTAACTAGCAAGTACCAATCATATCATTTACTTCCTTTGGACACCACTCTTTAGACCACCAATTCCCAATTTCCCTTCCCTTCTGTGGTCCCCCATTTTTCCCCCACAACCGAGAGCCAATAGCTTCCACAATCAAGCAGCTAGTTACTCTTTCTCTTAATCAATTCATTCAATATCGTCACTTTCTTTGTCCCCACTTCCCAATTTTCCTTTTCTCCACTGGTCCCCATTTTTCCTCCATAACCGAGAGTCGTTCTTACTTCCACAACCAAATTAGTTATCAAAATATAAAAACTCGCACTGAGCAATTGTAAATAGTTTAGTTTGTTTTTTAAATAAAATTATTATTACATTAATAATTTTGAGTTTGTCTTTTTATGTTTTTCATGGAATATATGCATCATTTTTACTTGTTGGTGAATTTTTTTTTTTTTTGGCTTAAAAAATTAGAAAAAAAGTAGGTAAAAAATTTTAGTATTGCTTTTACCCCCATTAAGAATTTTTTCTGGCTCCGCGCCCTTGAGCTGGTTGAACTCTCTTTACTTGACCAGGCTGATTGTATGGATTTTAAGATACGATTTGGAAACCAATTTTAAATGTGAATGATTCCGCAAATTCTTGTAATGGTATTGGAACTTGGTAATCTGTCTACACCTTGGTGCTTTAAACGGAAATTCTAGTTAAGAAGATGGAGAATTATTTTTGTTTTTTGCGTGCTTTCTTCAAGAATGATGGTTTGGGGATGTGAAAGAAAATGTTAAAATGAAGCACCTAATTTTTAACTCAGTTTTTTCCCCTCCCTATCATATCTTCTTCCCAGTTGGAAGGATCTGATTCGTTTTCTTGCCTGTCTTCGGGGTGGAGTGGGGATGGTTGCTGAGAGCCACAGAGTTGCATGAAATCCCGTTGGAAGTGCCTTTCCTGGTCATGTCTGCCTGCTGTTTGAATTTATAAAGGAAGGCTGATATCACAGATAAGCTCAGAATGGCCTGTTTAGCTTTCCTCCACTGCTATTTGTCAAAAGTAGACTTTCGGTTGGACTTGTAAAATGGATTTTCTTACGGCTTCATGTTTGGCTGTGGGAAACTTCTAATTCCAGCTTTGTACTTTTTACTCCAAATAATCATCTAACGTCAGCTAGGCTGAGCTGTAAAATCATCTAATATGAGCTAGGTTGAGCTGTAACTCAAAAAATCTACTTCTCTTGTGGCCTGAAACAAGACCACCAGAGACTTTAACCTGAAGGCAATGCTTGTGTTGCATCTTCTTGTTGAAAAGACTCCTTGATTCATGAGGTCACATTATCGATTACAAGAGAAGTTGCAAGCTGGGGAGCCATGAGATTAAGCCTCTTCTTCTCCCTACAATATATATTTGTTTGTTGAAACTCTAGTGAAATGATCAATTATTCAATCATCTGCAACTTGAACCATCTTTTTCCCTATATTATCGCCTCGGAAAAGACCTACAAAAGCAGATGGTATGCTTTCCAAACCATGTGAAATGTCTTCAAGAACCTGCAACTTTCCTGCCCGAATGTGCTCAACTGTGTCTGAAATGAAATCCTTGTAGACTTTCATATGATCAACAGATAAAAATCCTTGCATTGTTATCCTCTTGTAAATAATATCTACCATGTTTGGAGCAGCACGTTTTCCTTTGTCCGTATATTCAGATATAGCGCCACAAACAGCAACTCTACCGAATGTATTCATGTTCTCAACCGCAGCTTCCAGCATTTCTGCTCCCACATTATCAAAGTATATGTCGATCCCATCTGGGAAGTACCTATTACAAAGCTCAAAAAATAGCAAATACTTTAATCCAGTGTTTCTAGTAGACAAATGTGAGCCTCAATTTGTGTTATCGGGTTGAGCTTTCACTAAAAATCCACAAGAACACAACTGAGGTATTCACTTAAACTTGTGACATGGAAAAATGGGGAGGACCGTACCTTTTGAGAGCTGATTTCAGATCAGTTTCTTCTTTGTAGTTGAATGCTTCATCAAAACCAAGCTTCTCCTTTAGCAAGTCCACCTATTATTGTTCAAGATAAACATGGATTATTTGGGAAACATAAGTATCCATGGCACAAGAAAAGAACAGAACGAAGGATACTAATAGATGGCTGCAAAGGATTTGGTTGTTATTAAAGAACGTTTGTTCAACTTGAAATTTTAGTGTTAGTTGCTGCTACTTCTTTTATAGTTAGTACACTGTATATCTCAAACTGTTGTGAGATTAGTATCGGATGTAAGTTGTGTAAATTCTTACTTACCCAAAAAAATAAAAGAACCAGGCTACCACATTCACAATAGTCAACATCTGGAATGAAAAAGGGCAATAAGTTACAAGTCAACGTCACCAACTATGTCCTTAGGACCTTCAGAAACAAGCTTACTCGTTAACCTAATGTTTACCATGGACAGATTAATAAAATCCTATATGATCAAAACCAACTCTTTAGAAACAATCAAACCATACAGTCTCCTTTAGGAAAACAAAACAATTCTAAAAGCAAAAAAGAAAATTCAGATAAGAAAACCTATGGCAGCTTCTGGTTCTTAGAATGCAATTCTAGTGCTGGATGTGAGAAAGGGAGCCATGAAGAAAAGAAAAGAAAAGAAAAGAAAAAAACAGCCACCTTTTTTTGGCTACCAGCACATCCTACAACATTGCATCCAAACAGCTTTGCATATTGTCCTACTAAATTTCCAACAGATCCTGCAGCCGCAGAGACAAACACTTTCTCCCCTTTCTTTGGCTTACAAACCTCAAAAAATCCAGCATAAGCTGTAAGCCCACTGAATGCTGCATAACAAACATCAGATCTACTGAAATTTCAATAATTTCAAGAACCCTTAGATTAGCCAGAAACTAAAACGTCGATCAGGCCAGAAACAGAAGTACGTTAAACAGACTGAGAAAGAGTGAAGGATGAGGAAAACCTACCCAGAACACCTACATGGTGAGAAATGGGAAATCCTATGTTATCAACCTTGTTTAGCAAGCCACCTTCTTTTACTGTGCAGTATTCTCCCCAAGTCAGGAGTCCGGCAACTAAGTCATCCTCTTTAAAGGCGGGATTCCCCGAAGCAACAACTCTCCCAACACCATGAGCATCAATGGCCTATCGTAAACAAAGTTCAATCTTTGTAAGTACTTCTTTCCATCCATCCCTCCATGGTTGAAAATTAGAAATGCCACTTTGATTGCAAACTTACCTCAAAAGGCTTAACAGCACGTGCAGAGCTTGTGGTTTCCTGCGAGGAACTTTTTTGCTTCATGCGGTTCAATTGGTATGGATCAATGGATAAGTAAAGAATTTTCACAATGAGCTCCTTTTTACCAGGCTCAATAGATAAAGAAAGAGCCTCTGTCTTGAGCTCAAAATCAGATTCTTGTGGTGTTCCATCAATATGATGTCTTGTCACTACGTACCTGTTTGTTACTTCCATTGGAAATCTTTGGCTTAAACTAACTTCAGTGCAAGAGAAGAAGCAAAAGCAGTAAAATAACCCTGCTATGGAATATGGTTGAGCCGCTTAAATAATAATAATAATAAAGAAAGAAACAGAAGAAGGAAAAATGGAACAAGAAAAACAGCGTCTGAGAAGGAAAGTTGGGAAGGAGTCAGAATATGACGGGAACCGGAAGGGGCAACAAATAAAGAATTAGAGATAGTCACGCTAGTTTTATGGAATTTCATTTTTCCCCTAGAATGTTTTGGATTATCATCAATGTTCCTTAAATATTCCCCAATATTCATGAGCAGTATTCATTTAGATTTTTTTCAAACAAGTCTTATAGATTTAGTTATACACATCATTAATTTGCATTTAAAAAATTTAAAAATATCTAGTTAGAGTAAATTTTAATGGCATTGAATCCTAAGAAGATGTGCAATCAAAAAATAAGAAGACAAAAGGATACTTTTAATACTTATGTTACTAATATATCTATAGGCTTTTTCTAGTTAAGATTTTATTTATATATTTTACAAATTTATTATGTCACACTGACATCATTCGATTTTTGACACCGGTTCAATCGGTCAAACCCTTTGAGCTCTAATTTCAAAGTCACGTTGTTTTACCTTCCTATCCAAAATTTAAATCACAAGTTGAGCCTAGGAAGAGAGAAGGGGGGGGGGGGGAAGGTACTCGGTTTGCTAAAAGCCACTTAACAGAAATTGTAGACATATACACATATGCTATTATTGTACATGATAACAAGGCTGCATGAATAATGGGAGAGGATTGAGTTGGGTAATAATGACAGAAGGATTGTCAATAGGAGATTCTGAATTCAAGATCTCTCGCTTACAAAAAAAAAACAATTGAAGAAAAGGCTGCATGAATAGTTTAGCATTGTTGTACTTGACAATTTTATTTATGATTTTGCATAAAACAAGATAAGAATACTCTAGATCCTAATAGAAATATATACACTGGCAATATATAGATGAATCAATCCATTATCTCATCAAATGGAGGGATGAATTAGATGATAAAGAAGGAAGAAGTGTAAGTAATAGGTTTCGAATTCGAAATTTCTTACTTATATTGAAAAAAAATCCATTATCTCATCTGCCCATGAAAATATTTGTGCTCCTGCCGACGAATTGGTAGACATTAAATACAGATACTAATTGACAATGCCAAGAAGAAGATTTTTGTTTGGCAAAAATGATAATATTCTGTTTTTTTTTTGTGTGAATTTCGAGAACCTAATGTTAATCAAATTTACCACTATTATATTTAGAATTGTGGATGCTATAAATAACTTTGCAACATAGTCCCTAGTGGAGTCCTTGAATGCTAGATTGTGTGTTGTGGCCCTCCATTTAGTCATGTGCTTGGCTGATGATGGCACATGTTTGATGGTCGTTTTAAGTGAATTTTTAATCATCTTGGACAGTTTTCGTGCGATGATTTGTTTGTTTACAGGTGGACAATGATTGTAATCTCGTCATTTTTAAAAGCCACACCACATCACGTGTGGTAATTTTTGATTTTTTTTTAACCAGGCAGAAATTATGTCAAGTACCTACAACCGGCGGTTTTGGCAGCTTTCAACTTTTGGTCTCTGCCATACATTTGTTGGGTAGATGTAACTTTCTTATCCTTGCCTACAATAAAAATAGCCCGTCGTTTAAGATTAGAAGCACCAAAATAAGACACCCGTCGTTTCAGATAAGAAGCACCAAAATAAGACCGCTAAGAAAGCGCCACTACGGCACTACATGCAACAGGATACCGGAACCTGCATGTGGTAGGAAGGTCAGCAGAGAGCGACACGTGTTGGAGTGCATACAGTCCAAATGGAGACGTTAAAATGTTGCATAGTGCGTGGAAAGGAAATTAAATAGAATCGTTTGCTGATACAATAAAAAAGCAGACTGACTTTCGTACAAGTTGGGTCAGGAAGTATTATTGCAGGTTAAAACCAGAGGTATTTATGTATTTGCAAATATACCCATTACCAATGGAAAAATGCTGCAAATGCCTTGGATAAAAAATATGTGTAAAGAAGGTACCGAAATTTTAAGAAATAATAAATGATTATCGCACACACGTGGGGGATATAATTTGGAAGAAGAAAAAGGTGGGGTAAACGAAAGGATTCAAGTCTTCATTAAATTTATATACATATATAAATTTAGTACCAAGTGCTGAGCTTAAGCATGTGGATAAATAGAGTAGTAACTATCGTTATAGTAAAAAAACAGTTTTAGACATGATATAATAGATTATAATAATTTTAGGAACCATTTGATTGTCCGTTGGACTTATCCACTTGAATAGGATTATGCGTAAAAATAAGGAAGTAAGTTTGTCATCTAAAATAAAAAGTTTGCGTAATAAACTAGTAACTTTTGCAGCCCAAAAGGTGAATTGAAAGTATTATGAAACATACTTTTTAAAGAGATAAATTATAATTTTTATCCTGAATATAGTTTTGAGGGAGTAAGTTTATTCGAAGTAATAGTATGTTTTTATACATAAATAATCATTTTTACTTATAACATAGTAAATTTGATTAATGACAAAAACATGCTAATTTGTGGCAAAAATATTCTATTATGCTTAAAAAACTTATGCCAAGCCCATATTTTATTGTTATTTGAAATAACACTAAAATGTTTTATTAATGATTAAAACTGAGTACCTTACTTGGTAAGTACTGTTTATATACTTGTATAAATACTTGAACGTATGTGAATAAATTAATATTTTTGAAATTTATAAATAATTAAATTTTTTGTGTTGCAATTTAAAAAAAAGTAAGCGAAATTTTTTTTGCGCAGAGCACAAAAATCCACAAGTCAAAATAGTTGGTTTGAAAGGGAAAGATACAGCTGAATATCATTGTTTAAAGTACTAAACAAATAGATGTAAAATGCTGGTTAAAACCTGGTACTTTGACATATAATAAAGGAAAGTCATAAAAAATAGGCTATTTATGGAAAAAGTTCTCATTAATAAAAATACCAGCTCTTGACGGCTTTCTTACCAAACCTCCAAAGAATGAGCAAAGTGCCAATAGTTGAAATAGTAAATTTTTTGATTTATACAGAATTAAACTGTTTCTTGCATTTTTAAAAAAATAATGAAATTTTTTATCAGAAAGCACATAAGTCAAAAGAATTGGTCTAAAAGGGAAAGGAATAGTAGATATGTACTTCAGTGCTGTTTTTTAAAAATACCCCGAAAAATATGTAATCCAAGCGAAACCGATTCTTTATTATTTAAAATACCAAATCTGTAGTTGTATTTTAACTGTTATCCATTGATATCTTAAAGTATCATATTTCCATCAAATACCACCTCTTAACACCCATTTTCCTATAAAAAATTTATTTATTGGATAAAATAAAAATAAACCAATTTTTCAATAAAACACTAGCTCTTTATAGTTTTCCTCCATTATAAGAACTAGGGCTGCAAACGAATCGAGCTGCTCGTGAGCGGCTCGAGTCGAGCTCGATATTAATCGAGCTTGAGCCGGCTCGAGTCAAACTCGAGTTCAGAATATTAAACTCGATAACTCGCGAGTTTGAATATATATATATATATTTTTTATTTTTATTTTTATTTAATAATAAAATTACGTATATTATATATATATATATTTTTTTTTATTTTCATAGTAAAATTACGTATATATCTTTAATATTTTATTATTTATTAAGAAAAAAATATTATTTTATTTATTTTTTTAAAAATAAATTTTTTATTTTTTATTTTTTTCGAGGCTCGAGCTCGAACTCGAGTTCGGCTCGACTTGATTCGAGTCGAGCTCAAGGTTGAAAATTGCCGACTTGTCGAGCTCGAGCTCTAACTCGAGTTTGGTAAAATTTAGTCGAGGCTCGGCTCGATTAGTTCAAAACTCGACTCGACTCGACTCGTTTGCAGCCCTAGTACTCTGTTCTTACCCATTTTTCCATTAAAAAATTTATTTATCAGATAAAATAAAAATAAACCCGTTTTTCAATAAAAGACTAGCTCTTTATGGTTTTCTTGCATTGTAAGAATAGAGTACCCATTTTTGCATCGAAAAATGTATTTATCGGATAAAATAAAAATAAATCCGTTTTCCAATAAAACACTACCTCTTTATGACTTTCCTGCATTATAAGAACAGAGTACCCATATCTCCATAAAGCAATTTATTTATCGGATAAAATAAAAATAAATTCATTTTCGAATAAAACACTAGTTCTTTATGACTTTCCTCCATTATAAAAACAGAGTACCCATTTTTTCATAAAAGGATTATTTATCGGATAAAATAAAAATAAATTCGTTTTTCAATAAAACACTAGTTCTTTATGGCTTTTCTCCATTGTAAGAACACAGTACCCGTATTTCCATAAACCAATTTATTTATCGGATAAAATAAAAATAAATCCATTTTCTCATAAAACACTAACTCTTTATGATTTTTCTCCATTATAAAAACGGAGTACCCATTTTTTCATAAAAGAATTTATTTATCGGATAAAATAAAAATAAATCTGTTTTTCAATAAAACACTAGTTTTTTATGATTTTTCTCCATTATAACAACAGACTACCTATTTTTTCATTAAAAAATTTAAAACACTAACTTTTTATGACTTTTCTCCATTATAAGAACAGAGTACCCATTTTTCATAAACAAATTTATTTATTGGATAAAATAAAAATAAATCCATTTTTCAATAAAGTACCAGCTACTTATGGCTTTCCTCCATAAATTATCTATTTTCATAAGTTAATTTATTAGTTGGATAAAATCAGAATAAAATTAGGTTGAACAACAAATTACCTTTTACGATAAAGTTGAAATACAGGAAAATAACCTATAGCAAGTTTTAAGTCCATTTCAATTACAAAAATATGCTAGAAATTCTTTTTGCAAACGCAAGACACCTAATTCATAAAGTCTCAAGAAACCTTTACAACCGTTATGCAAAAGCAACTTATTCATTTTAAATTTTTAGCATCAATTTGATTATCTGTTGGACGTATCCACCTAAATAGAATAATTTGTATTTTCTGGGACACGAGACATAATAAGAATTAAACTTGTATTAATGTAGACCTAACAAAATGAGAGAAATAGCATAACAATT